CCCTTCCCTGGTGGCTGGGGGGGAGGGCAAAGAGGCAGGGACAGGGGTCCAAGGGCCTGGTGGCTTTGGTCTTGGGGGTGGGGGGGGGAGAGCCAGGGTGTCTTTGGCCTCAGGGCCTAGGTGGGGGGAGGAAGAGCCAGGGCAGCCTCGGACCCTCCCCACCACAGACTGAAGCTGCTCCAGCATCCCGTACAGCCGCCGCTGCCCTCCCCACTGTTGCTTCTGATAGAGGCAGCAGCACGGGGGACACAGAGGGAGAGGCTGCTCTGTGAAGCCAGTGCTCATGGGGGACCAGCTTTTAAGTCAGCTCCTCAGAGCACCAGCTCCTGCTTGGCCCTCCCCGCACCCACCTCTGCAGGAAGCAGCCGGGGGGGGGGTGGGGGGGGAGCGGAGGCAGCTTCATGGAGCCTGCTCTCCGCTTGTATCAGCTCACACCTGCCATCCCCAGTGCTGCTGCCTGGGATAGGAAGGCAGCAGCACGGTGGAAGAGCAGCTCCGTGTGAGCGAATACATGCGGGGAGCTGGTTTGAAAGCCAGCTACCTGCAAGTACCAGCTCTCACCTGCCCCCCTCACCTTCCACGCTGCTCCCTCTTTATGAGAGGCAGAGGCAACAAGGGTGGGTGCATATAGTTGTTTGGATAAATCAATAAACCCGAGGTTATCAGTTAATTCTTTAAATGACTATATGCTAACATCCCTAATGCACAGCACCAAAGTCAACAGTAACTTTTATATGCCCTCTCCCTCACTTGGAGTTTTCATGGCTGTATAAAGAAAAACACTAAGGAGGACAACATCAGCCATCTTTGCTCCTGGTACAAATAGGACTGATTATAGTGCAATTTTTATTTTGCTAGTCCACTTCATGATTTAGGCCCTATTTCTGCAATATCTACCTGCCCTACCATTCATCCTGTTTTATTAGGAATTTTAATGTGTCCATCTCCAGCCATTTCTGACTTGCTCACAAGTGTTGTATTTATTGGCGTACTGATTTAGCAGCCTCTTATGTACCTCCAACTAGGCACTGGAGTTAGTCACTGAATGCTGAGAACAGGGTTATACCAGGATTTATTATCCTCAGATCAAACCTGGGAGGCAGCGGATTCATTTCCTTTCTTCCCCCTCCAAAGACCTACAGCACTGAGACACTGACGTCTATTTGAGTTTAATATGACTCCTTCTCCCAGTTTAGGAAAGATAATGATAGCAGGACAGGGAGGGGTTGAGAGAGAGTGTTACACATCCAAAGAGAATGCCAACTGTTAAATGCTGCTAATTCCTCATCAACAATGCCCAGTCAAAAACAAAGCCACTAGGCAATGCAGCTGGATCAATGGAAACAGCTGAAGTGTGTGGGGGAGGGATGTGGGGAGGACAGGGATGCAAGGAAAAGATGGATGCCACTGTAATTAAATGAAAACATTGCTCTTCTTCTGTCTCTCTAATTACAAATCATAAAGCACCAGGCAATACTGAGCATTGGCTGCATTTGGAGTAGACATTAAAATAAAATGAAAACATCCAACAGTTGCTATCCTCAAACAGACCACAAATAGCCTAACCAGGGGGTATCCCTGCAACTGGCTGCTAACTTGCTCCAAGTGGCCAGTTGTCCAAGTCTATCCACGTTAACTCAGTACTGTACAAGGAAGATTTTTAAGGGATACTAGCTCCTCTTGCCTTGGCCCTCACACCAAGCCACCTGTCAGAACTACAGCTCCATTATCTTCTCTCTCACACCTGATCAGTGAAACAATAGACAGAACTATGTAGCACTTTAAAGACTAACAAGATGGTTTATTAGATGATGAGCTTTCGTGGGCCAGACCCACTTCCTCAGATCAATATGTGGAAGAAAATCGGCATAACCTTATATACCAAAGTGATACAATAAAAAAAAATGAACGCATGTGAAATTGACAAATCAAATTTTAGAACAGAGTCGGGGTGAGGGGGGGGGGAGATAAGTTTCTGTGAGGTAATGACATTAGGGGGTGATAATTGGGGAAGCTATCTTTGTAATGGGTAAGATAATTAGAGTCTTTGTTTAAACCCATACATAAAGTGTCAAATTTAAGCATGAATGACAATTCTGAAGCTTCTCGTTGAAGTCTGGCATTAAAGTCTCTTTGAAGCAATACGCATGTTTTAAGGTAATTGAGGGAATGATCAGTCTGGCTGAAATGGCAGGCAACAGTTTTCTCTGTGAGAGTCTTATGTCTGTTTTGAGTGCATTGATCCTTTGGCAAAGTGTCTGAGACGTTTGTCCAATGTACATAGTAGAAGGACACTTTAGGCACCTGATCAGTGTCATTCAACGGGGCCACAGTCACCAGGAGGGGTCTCCGTTAATCAGACTGGTAAACTAAGGTATGGAGAGCTTAAATAAATTGCCCAAACTCTCACAACAAACATACACTGCTAATGCCACTTCTGTTGAAGGACTCTGTTGTCTTGTGCTCTCTGTGTCTCGGGGGCAGAAAGCTTACTACAAAGCAGCCTTTGCCAACAATGGGCCCGGGCTCCTCACAGACAAAGGCTCTTGTCCATAGGGGGGTCTGAGCTTCCCGTGGGTAGAGGCTGCTCTGCCTGGAGCCTGGACTCGCCACCCCAGACAGGGGGCTGCTGCTGTATCAGAGGCAGCAGCTTGGGGAAACAGGTAGGAGCAGGTCTGTGCAGGCAGCTGGTTTTAAATCCAGCTCCCCTCATGGACTGGCTCCCCCCCGTCACCCCTCGCTGCTGCCTGATATTCCCCTGGGACTATTGAATATTCATATAACCGCTAAAATTTGAGGCATTTATACAACTATTCAATTATACGCTAACACGCACCCTTAAGGGCAAGCACTCTTAATCAGCAAGCTTTGCCTGATTAAGTACACACTTACCTATGATGCACTCCTTCAATGTTAAAGAAGTTCTGTCTGAATGAATCTGCTTCCAACGTAGGAATTTTGAATAATCAAATATCCACAAACATCATCAGAGCTCTACTGCCATTTCAGAGTTTCTAGGGGGTCCAATCCTGCAAAGCGCTGAGTACTCTGGTCCCAATCCTGCAAGCCTTAGGCACATGCCTAACTTTAAACACACGGGTTGTGTCAGGCTTAAAAAGTTAAGCACATGATTAGTGCTTTACTCAACCGAAACCAGGGGACTTAACGTTTTGCAGGGCGGCACCCAAAATGAGCAAGTACTTTTCACATACTGTACTCCTTTCACTACACATCTGAACTACAGTGACATCAAGCAACTTTCTCTTCATACCCCTTTGCTAAAAGTTTCCATTATTACTTTATTAGTAGTAGTATTACTTTACTAAAGTATTATATTACTACTTCACTTCTCTCTTTCTGCTGCCCACTTCCCCACAGGCACTGGCTAATTCAACTTCTTGTCAGCAAACACTTTCTGACAGAGGCCTAATACGCAGGATGAGGGGGCAGTGTGACAAACATTTGTTTATCCACATCTCAGTGACCGAACTAAACTGACTTTGGCAGGACTCCCACTTGCTGTGGGGGAGCTAAAAAGTTTGACTGAAAATTGAAGTGACCCTGTTCACCATTTTCCCATTGCTTTTCACATCACAAGAAAAAAAATGACCAAGGAGCTGAAGAATCACATGGATCTACCATGCTTTAGCTTAGAGTCTATTCTTTTCTTAGAAGCCTGTGTGGTCAGGTTTGTCAGAAGCTGTAAAATGCGTAGTCATTCAAGGGCTAAGTGCTTCTTCTAAGTCATGTGATGCTTACACAAAGCCCTGAATGTACTGCATTAGTTCAACAGGAAATTTGCTTCGGTCTGTGCCATCTTTATTTCAGGTGTTTCACAATCATTTCTCTTCAAGACTGACTGGGATTCCTAATGAAAGGGCTAGAACATGGCAGTGAAGGGTGGGGAAAAAAAGTGTAATAAGTTTAGTTTTAGTTGCATAACCAATGTTCCTCCTCCCCCAACCCAACACTTTTAAAAGCATTTTCTACACTGCAAGATGATCTTGCATACTAAAATTCTGATTCCTTAAAATTATGTCCTGCAGTATAAAATTCTCCCTTTCTATCTTTAGCTCTATGGAAATACAAAATGGAACACTAAATTGCTTTCTAAAACACCAAATGACTAGAATTATCTTCCAAGTGCTGTACAGGCTTTAACCCTCAGTGTCTCTGTGAGCCTGTTAAGAACATTATTTCCCTTTGTACATGCTACACTGTCGTATTTTAACAATACGGGATAGATGCTTTCAGGGCAAAACACTCCTGAATTATTATAGGAGGTTAAAAGTTAATTTTTTCCTGGAGACAGGAATTACCCTAACTGTATGGGGTTTTTTTCTATCTTCCTCAGAAACAGTTAATAGAAGCTGCTACTGGCAATACTGGATTAGACCTGCAGTTGCAACTCCTATGTAACTGGGACACAGGAGGTTAAGAGACTTGCACCAGGCCAGAGATTAGCCAGGATTCAGATTCTGGAGTTCCTAGCTCCCCATCTCGTGTTAGACACAGCATTTGATTATGAGGTGGTAAGTGGCAAAAAACCTGGGCATTTATGCCCAAGAAAGTACTAATTTCCTCTC